TTTCTCCTGTCTGGTCACACAAGCATGCTTTCATGCCGCCACGATGGTCTGATCATGCCCTCCCAGCCCGGTGCTATTCCTCCCCCCCCTTCACAGTATGTGCATCATCGCATACTCCATAGGGGGCCCTCAGTGCGGAGGGGCCCTCAGTGCGGAGGTGCAATTCCTCGTCTGACTCACCCGCAGTTGCATCTGATCACACAGTGATGGGCTGCGCCCACGGCTACAAATGGAGGTGTGACTGCGTGTCAATTCCTCTAGAGGAGAAATAGCCTCAGTTCCCCTCCACTCCAACTGGCGTGTCTGACCGCAGCCACTGTCTTGGCCGGAAACTATCATAATGCTACTCTGGCTTCTGAAAAGTCCTTTTCTTATGTAATTAAATCCAACAGACAGTTGGATCCGGATAATTTGGTGTTTTATGTGCCCATTGTTATTATTATTAATGTTCTATTATTGTTATGCTGAATCGTTAATGCTCAAGACTGTAGTCATAAGAGCAGAAAATAAAAGTAACTCCACTTGACGTACATAAGAACGTAAGAGTAAGCAGGGTATGTCTTAGGCTGTGGTCACACACACTAAATAAGTACATAAGAACGTAAGAGTAAGTAGGGTATAATGTCTTAGGCTGCGTCACACACACTAAACAATCCATTTTTCAATCCACTTTTGGGGCACTTTCCATCTGGATTTTTACTGTGTGAACTGCCCACCCTCTAAATCTGCCATATCCTCCAGGGGAACTGATCTGTGTAACCTGGAGACAAGATGCAGTTCTGGGAAATCTCCAAGCCCCTCATGGAAGCTGGCAGCCCTAACAACATATTCTTGCTCTTCCTTTATCAAGGGATGGTTGGTGTCTCCTTAAGAGGAATCACTAAGTGAAGACAGACTGATATTTAAAATAACCAATAGCCAACTGTGCCTCTATGCACACAAGTCCTGTTGAAATCAGTAGTGCCAGAGTAAGCTTAGCAGTCTTAGACTATTGCCTATAGGTTATATTTCCCCACAGCGGAATAGCAATTTGAAGTTATGTTAACTTTCATACTACCTAAATAGAAGTACTTCAGATTTTGAAAAGTTTCATTTTTTCCCTCCTCAAACCTCAAGTTCTTACTGACTGCAGTTTTGTTTAAGTTGGCAAATTATGAGTGTTGGTGAAATGGTGGTTTATAGTATCTGGAAAAGCTGTTGAATGTTTTAAAATTATTTTCCTGCTAGCTTTGGTGAGAAGCTGAGCTCCCACAGTCCTCTGGGCAGGAGCTTTTGTATGAATCACCCCTGATTTGTATTCCAGACTTATCTTAAAGGCTTTTATCTCATGACTGGCATATTGACTGGCCATGCTAAACTGAACTTCAATCTATCACTTAGTTGTTCCTGCAGTTCTGAGGCATCCCGTTGAACATCCAATAGATCAAAAATTAAGGCTTCATCCTTTGCTTATGCAAATGGTTGCTAAAGGCACTCCGGGTCAAATTAGGTGAGATGCTGGAAATCAGTTATTGGCAGCACAATCCTGAGTGAATTATACCTTTTTGAGTCCACTGAAGTAAATATGCTTAGAAAGGTGCAACTGTTTAGGATCGCAAGGGCACGATCACATGCATAATTAGCCCCACCATAGGCGTGAATGTTGGGTGGATTTAAAGGGCGTGATCAGACATGACCATCTGGGAAGCACCACACATCCGTCAGCAACCCATTTTGCTTCACTGCAGAAGCAGAGTAAAAAGACACGGGGGAAAATCCAGTAGTAAACTGGTTGTGATGGGCCAATGATGGAGTTTCCCGTGTCTGATCGCTCCAGCATGCTCTCATGGCATCGGGATGGTCTGATCAGGCCATCCTGACTCCATGCCATTGTTTTTTCCCCCTTCTCAGTATGCGCATCATCACAAATTCCATAGGGAGACCTCAGTGTGGAGATGCAATTCCTCGATTCCTCGTCTAAGCACATTGGAAACAAACAGCACCCCCCCCCCCCTCACCCATGGTTGCGTCTGATCATGCAGTGGCGGGCTCTGCCCGCAGCTTCCAAGGACTGTGTGATGACGTAACTGTGGGTCAAATTCCTCCAGAGGAAATAGCCTCACTTCCCCCCCCCCGCTTTATCTCGCGCGTGTGACTACCCCCAAGTGTGGGTTTCTCAAGCATTTTTATTTGTCAGCAGTCGCCACACTATGGGAGAGGG